CTCAACAAAAATCCCTTATTTAAGTTTTGCTTCTGAAAGAGCGGGGAATTACCCACATAGATACTTGAAATGATTGCCATCTTTGTCTAAGGCCTTTACAAACTGCTTCATCAAGCCCAGTTTTAGGTGAAGTGGAGGTTGTGTTAACTAAACTTTTATGTTCAATGTTCTTCCATCCATCTGTGTGGCCATTGCTTCTTTATCCTGTAATAATTTTGTGCTCTGCTATCTCATTCACACAAAAATCATGGATACTTTGTATAACCGGATTGTTGACCCAACAACATACAAAGGACTTTCAAGTATCCACAAAGTAGCCAACCATGGTCTTTGTATTTGAACTTGTTAAGAAGAAGTTCAAGATTTTTGTGTTTCCTTCAAGTGAACCAAATTACCAATTGGAACAGATGCACATATGTTACCATTGTGAAAGAGAATGCCTTTTAGCCTTCTTATGGAGGAATCAATGAACAATTGCCACTCACTTGGTTCATAGACTGCAGCTCCTAGCATTGTTATTAATTCAGCAATATTGTTGCAATAAAGCAGTGAACTGTCTTGTGAAAAGGTTGGTAAGAACTCTTTCTCATGATTTCTGTATCAGTAAAATGATGTCACTGGAGAAAGTCAGTTCTTAGCCCGAAGTTTGGACCTTAAAATCTCTCAAGTATCCTTTGGAAGGCCCAAATCTCTCACCAAATCATTAAGTTCACCTTCTGTGAGAAGTTGTGGTTCACCAGATGTTTCAGGTTAAAAACAATCCCTATCACCATTTCTACTGACATCACATTCAGAATCAGACAGAATCTGATGGAGTAGGTACAGGACATCAGGTCCATGAGCAACAGTTCCTATAGCAGATTGAAGGTTTGGATTCGAATTTTTTTTTATTTGAAGTGTTGTAGCCTTGCACGTTACATGAGAAAAAGTAGTAGTCATCCCTGTGGTTTCTAGGCTCATGCCAGTCCATTGGAATTCCAAAAGCAAAGACTTTTTATTACCTATATTCCATTTTCTCAACTCTAAGACATAAACAGTGCAAACTTTGTGTGGAGCCCATGATTTGTTTTAGTGCCTCAAGTTTTATTCCAAAATATGTGTAATGTGCTTTTGATGAATTCTGTAATGTTTTGTCATTGTTTCTTTACAACAAATATAATGGGAAGTGTTTGGGTTATTTACACTTCTTGTTGCTATAGCGATGAATAAATAATATTGAAAAAAAAATAAAAATACTATCCAAAAATATCACATCATGTGGCCTGTTAACCATTTATGTACTATTGGTGTGTTTCTCATGGGTTCTAGAATGATTAATAAGACTCTCACGTCGCGATTGGTCTTGAGAAATCTATAGCCGGTGGTTTTCAACAAAATGTGACCCAGTTTCAATAAAATTGATTCACTTGTGTAATAGTACATTTGACGTTTTGTGAAAAATCTGTACTTGATGGAGAAAAATGGATATCATTTTCGAATTCAGCATACAGGAATTACCGTAGAACATATAAAAATTTCAAGACAATAAAACTATCGCAGGCCTGTGTAATTCATTGTTGGCATACAAGCTTATACCTTTGTTTGGGATAATGTGATCTTCACATAATCTGAATAGTAAATGAGATTGTACAAAGATGAAGGCATAAGCTGAAGCATTGATGATAGGAATTAGTCTTGTATTATATAAGACAAAGTCATTAAAATGAAATGTATTCATGTTTCATAAATATAACTTTTCTGTTGTCTTGCAGATACCCTGTTGTTGTTCAGAAGTTTCAATTAAACCCAGATAGTGGTGGCTCAGGGCAGTACCATGGTGGAGATGGAGTTGTTCGGGAGTTACTGTTTAGGAAAGATCTAACACTGTCTGTGTTGACAGAAAGAAGAGTCTTCACACCTTATGGATTGTTTGGTAAATTCCCAAAAGCTATATTGTCTATTTTTGAAAAAAATTTTAATGGTTTACAAATTGATATATGTTTTAGCAAATTGTGTGATACACAAAAATTACATTTTGATTTGTGTTAAACAGTACTTCCAAAGTATAGTTTGGGAAATGAAAGTTTTGTAGTTAATAGTATTTTATCACCAACTAAATCAGTAATACATGTATATTAATATACAACCAAGAATTTTTGACTTGTCTAATTTGAGTTATAATCTATGAAGATATTTATTGTTATCCTAGGTGGGAAAAATGGAAAACAAGGCTTAAACCTTCTTATCTACAATAATGGGCGAATTGTTAACCTCGGGGGCAAGACATGTGTTAAGGTGTCTGCTGGGGTAAGTTTGTCATTTGTTTTGGAAATTATTAGTCAGATAAAGTGCTGTTCAGTTTGTATCACAAAAATATGAAAGCAGTGTAACTTGGTACTGTATCCAAAATTAAATAACAGTCTTATGATATTTGTATGTCCTTTATCTCATGATATCTGGGGTGTGTGTTTTGTGTTCTGTAGGATGTTTTTCACATGGAGACACCTGGAGGTGGTGGCTATGGATCAGCAGACTGATGATGTGGCCAATGTTTTGGAGGAGTATAATCAAGAAGAGAACAATATTTTATTTCACATAATTTTTATTATTCAAGAGCAACCTACAGTAGCCTCTGTTACATGAACTGTTCTAGTTTAGGGAAAAACTTTTGCCACACAGTGAAATAAATCCCATATTAGTGGGAAAGACATTATAATTGATATTCTATTTCATAGTGTAGGAAGTAAATATGAAACTAAATATCTTGGTTTATCATTCAACATTATGTAATTGAACAGTATACATTAAGTACCTTAGGCTGTCGTATAACCTACTGTTAAAAAATTGATGCGATTATTAGTGCCTTGGGTTACTTTTGAACCTATTATTATTTCAGTGATGGTATTAAGCATATTGGCTTACCATTCAACATTATATAATTAAACAATTTAATTAAATGATTTCAGATTATCATTACATCTGTTGATTTTCAACAACAATTCTTGAGTTATGGGGTTTGATAATTATTTCACACCATTTGAATGACAGTTATTAAGCTTCTTATTTTGGGACTGCCAATGAGCTTATTGAATTTGAAAATTGATGTAAAGATAAGTATCTTGGATTAAGATTTAATAAGTTTTGGTGTAAAGTAGATATAAAGATAATCACCTAAGATTATCATTCATCAAGTTTAATAAGCAGATCATCTAAAGGTAATTGCCCTGAACTATAATTTAAGTTAACAACTTTGATGAAGAGCATATCTAAAATCATCTTTCGTGGTTTATATTCAGTATGGTTTAATTGAGCATTAGTCCTAAAGTGAAATAATGTGTTATCATTGTACTTATTGTTATTGAATATGTGAAATAGTCATTAACTCTACTACATGATCAATCAACATGGTTTTGAACAGAGGTTTTGATTAAAAACTAAACTAAAATTAAATACCTTAAAGGTATTTTAAGTTTATTTGTAGTACAAGCATATTACAAAGATATATTATTATGTGTTAGTAATTCTAATTTGAAAATACTTGATAAGCTATGGTTTGTGCTCTATGAAATGACTTGATAGCACTTACTGAAAGTCTTACAAAAGTAACATTTATTCAAATAAAAATTGTTTCAGAATTGGTCTAATACACATTAGTTAATAGAACTTTGATTTGTGTGTTACTGACCTATAATATAAGCATGATTGTTTTGACAAACTTACTTTGTTGGTAAAATATTTGTTTCTAGATGAAATAAATCTTCTTTTCTTAAAACTGATAACTAACATTTCAGTCTTCATTGATAATTCTTTATTTACACAAAATTTTAAAACCGTGTATGTGATATCAGAAAAAGTTTGAAGTATTAGAGATTCCACACTTGCAATAAGATTGTTAGATAAATGATAAAAATACTGAGAACCTGTATCTTATATTCAATGGAAAGTATAAAACAAACTTCAAAACAAATGGCTATAGCATATACCATTTGCCTTAAAAATACAATCCACAAACTTACATCATGCAGCAAAATCGTTATCAACAATTTCAGAATAATTATTTTTATGATAAAATCTGTGACACAGAGAAACATTTAGTTATACTGTGTGGTATATCATTTTCAGGAAGACAGAAATTTCTACCATTAAAGTTACCAGTACCATGTAGTACAAAATGTACAAACAATAAAGTTTTTGCTGGTTCTACATGGTAAAGAATTTATTCAATGATACAGTCAGCACTTAGATTATAAAATATACAGGAAAAACATTCATAACCAAGAATCCTGGTTAATTTGATAAGTTGTACTAGAAGGTATGAGCAGCACCACATTACTGGTAATCAGTGCTTGAAGTGGGGTGGGATACCATCCCACTTCTTTTCAGGAAAGGTCCAAAACCATCCCACTACCTTTTAGTAGCCTTTAAGCTTCTCAGAAGGGAAAGGTTCAATAGATGATGCAATGAATATTTATGAAGAGAAAGAACTGTAAAGAAAAACGTTTTTTCTTATAATGTTTTTTTTTTAACGTAGGAGTGAGGCAAGGATAATACAAACTAGTACATGGATGGAGTAAAGCAAATGAACCCACTCACTACAGGCTTAGTTGATGTGACTGATTTCATAACTACAAAGTAACCCTCAGAGTTTCCAGACTATAACTTGTACCAGTATTTATTTGTTTATATGTAATTTAATGATTTATTTCTCATTGAACCATGTCTAATTAATAATCCTGCCACAATTCAAACACTGCTGGTAATGTATTGTACAAAATGTACAAAGTGATGTAAGTACCACCTGTATCTTCTGGTATAAATTGTACACAAAGACCTAAACAAACAACATAAAAGTCACCATAACAAATATGGACAAACTATACATAAAAGAACAAAGAAAATCAGTGCTGTTGGCACCATATACAACAAATTGTACAGAAAGATATGGCAGCATTAATGTTATTGAAAACATGTGGTATAAACTGTACAGAAACATGAAAACCCCAGCATTACTGGCACCTTGTGGAAGAGAGTACAGGATAAAGTACTTTGTTGGATAAATGCTACAGGAAAGAAAAAATGTCACGGTTACTGACACTATGAAGAAGAGATTATATAGGAAGACACAAGTGGTATCTAGTTTTGTAAGTATCTTGTGTAACAGACTTTTCATAAATATACAACCAAATGTAACTTCCTTTTGGGAAAGATTTTAGAAAAACACAAACACCAAAATGACTGATACATTGTAGGAAAGAATCAGGGTTTGCAGTCGGTACCAATATATCATATGTTAAGAATAATATCTGTTATCACATGTCCCATCTTCGGAGTTTTGACCAAATGCCACCTCTGGTATTTCAGCTTCACTTTTCACAGAATTATCAATGTTTGATGTGGTAGTTTTGAGTTCATACTTCAGTTGATAAGCGAATCTCACCATGAAAATGGGCAATAACATGAAATATGGGAAAATGGTTACTCTCACGCTCTGGAAGAGAATGTGATTGTGCCTACATGACTAATTGCATGTTAAGTAGGTGCTTGCGTGATTAATGTGGGGTGGGATACTGGTATTATGTTGGACTTATTGAAGAAGAAGACACTGACATTACAGAAGGTTACTGATACTATGTGGGACAGATTTTTAGAAGAAAAAAAAGATACTCTAACTTATGCAGCAAATTATAGAAAAGGACACACATATGCTGAAATCTTTTAAGTACACACACAGTCAGCCCCAATATCAGCAAACTATATTGTATGATTTGTGCCACAATAAAATCTTCTGACACTAATGCTTATTTACATTGAGAAGCAAAAACATACACTATAGCCATTTCCAAACGCATTCATGGTACAATATTTTTACAAGTAATATTTAAAGTATCATCTTCAAAACATATAGAGCTTTATATTCCATTCACACAAAGATATAAATACCATACTGATATAACAACGTCGTGAGAAGTTACAACAAGAAAGTAGATGTTTTGTAAAGTATGCAGAAAAAGGTTACAAAAATTTAGACTTGCTCTTTTATCATGAACTAGCATATTAGACACAGTCACTGATATAAGCAAAGTAAGTTATGCTAAAGAGCTTGTTTTCACAAAGAAAGAGTTAACAAGGTGCTGGTAGTTTTGATAAGAAGCTATTATTCTGTGTAAAAAGCTAGTTGGTACTAATGAGCTGTTAGTTCTCATGAAGTAGTTAAAAAAAACTGTTAGTTCTTATTAAGTAGTTAGTTAAAAAGAAGCTGTTAGTTCTTGTAAAAAGCTAGTTAATATTAAGAAGCTATTAGTTATCTTGAAGTAGTTAAAAAGAAGCTGTTAGTTCTTGTAAATAGCTAGTTAACATTAAGAAGCTGTAAATTCTCTTGAAGTAGTTCAAAAGAAGCTGTTAGTTTTTGTAAAGTATTTAGTTGAAAAGTTGTTAATTCTTCTAAAAACTAGTTGGTAGTAAAAAGCTATTAGTTCTCATAAACAAATCAATAAAAAAGCATGTTGGTAGTAAGAAGCTGTTAGTTCTTGTAAAAACTACTTAACAGTAAAAGGTTGTTAGTTCTTGTGAAGTAGTTAGTAAGCAAGAAGTTGAAAGTTCTTGTTAAAAACTAATTGACATTAAGAAGATGTTAGTTCTCAGGCAGTACTTAGTTAAAGAGAAGCTGTAAATTCTTGTAAGAAGCTAATTGATAGTAAGAAGCTGTTAGTTCTTGTAAAAAGCTAGGTGGTAGCAGGAATGTGGTAGTTCTCATGAAGTAGTTAGTTAACAGTAAGAAGTTGTTAGTTCTTGTGAAAAGCTGGTTGTTAGTAGGAAGCTGTTAGTTCTCATGAAGTAGTTAGTTAACAGTAAGAAGTTTTTAGTTCTTGTGAAAAGCTAGTTGGTAGTAGGAAGCTGTTAATTTTCATGAAGTAGTTAGTTAACAGTAAGAAGCTGTTAGTTCTTGTGAAAAGCTAGTTGGTAGTAGGAAGCTGTTAATTTTCATGAAGTAGTTAGTTAACAGTAAGAAGTTGTTAGTTCTTGTGAAAAGCTAGTTGGTAGTAGGAAACTGTTAGTATTTGTGAAGTAGTTAGTTAACAGTACGAAGTTGTTAGTTCTTGTGAAAAGCTAGTTGGTAGTAGGAAACTGTTAGTATTTGTGAAGTAGTTAGTTAACAGTAAGAAGCTGTTAGTTCCTGTGAAAAGCTAGTTGGTAGTAGGAAACTGTTAGTTGTTGTAAAGTAGTTAGTTAACAGTCAGAAGCTGTTAGTTCTTGTGAAAAGCTAGTTGGTAGTAGGAAGCTGTTAATTCTCATGAAATAGTTAAATAAATGTTAGTTCTTGTGAAGTAGTTAGTTAGCAGTAAGGAGCTGGTAAGTAGCAAAAAACATTTGCTCTAATGAAGAAGCTAGTGGATATCAAGAAGTAGTGCATTGTGATAAAGCACATAGTGGGTAGCAAGTAGTAGTAGTTAGCTGTTGTGAAAAAGCAGTTGGCTGCAAGATGAAGTCTTTTGTTTCGGGTAAGAAATTTAAGTGATAACAAGAATATATTTGATCTGGTAAGGCTAGTTGGTAGCAGGAAACTATGTTGTTTATCTTAAGAAACTATTGTGGATAGAGAAACTCCTAGTTAGTTGTAAAAAACAAATGTAGCTTTGGGATAAAGTTAGCAGTAAGTAGCAAGATATTTGTTGTTGATACTGTTAGCTGGTACTGTGTAGCTGTTTGTTCTAAAAAAAGCTTTTTGATACCCAAAATATATTTTTATTGTAAGAACGTTAATGGGTATTAGAAATTTGTTCTTGTATAAAAGCTATTTGTTTGAAAAAAAATTTTTGTTCTCATAGAGAAAAAGAACAAAGAGTCTGTCTACTATTGTAAGTACTATTAGGAAAGGGTCCCAGTATAAATGATTGTGACTGACTGTTACAAATTACTTAACCAAAAAGAAATGTTTCAGTGCAGGAATCCACAAGGTTGTGTAAAAGTACTCACAAATATGTATTTCTTAAAACATAAGGACACAAAAGAAAGCTCCATATACACCAACAGAAAAGATAAAAACAGCTTTGGATATAGTTCTGAAGTATGACATTACAGACTGTCCCATCTCAGGATGTGAAGGAATTTTTGGTGTGAAGTGTATATTTTTCCTGCTGATCACCCTGCAATCTTAATGTCTTAAGGTAATAACCACAGGTATACTTGTTATTCACTTTGCTACTTTTAATGAAATGTCTACCCTGTTAAATACATATTAGTATCATGATGTGTATTTCCTGTAAAACAAATTAATAAAGATGTATACAAATAACTAATTAACATAAAGTTCAGTTTCTGTAGAATGTAAATAGGAAAAATAATTATAATATACAGGGTAGTTTCTGTACAATAAAATAATTATCATCTGTTAGTAGTATTACATATAAACTAAATTTTAATTTCTCTAATTAACACCATGAGGTTTACTTTATGTAAGTTGCATACAAAAGTTGTATTTATCTTTAAAAACAATAATTTGTTACAAATTTATTTACTAAAAACTACTTAATACTTGTGTATCTTGTAAAACTCATCAGCAGTCATGAGTTGTAAAAATTTATCTTTTCAGTTAAGATAACATGTAATTATAAAAAGTAATTTCTTTAAGCCAATAGGCAAACAGAAAGGTAAATTTAATTGCTTATCACATTGTACATTTCATGCTCGTAATAATGAGCAGTCATGGTACGTGTCTTGTTAAATGTTAATACTTGTCATATTGATTGTTTTATTTTAAATATATCACTCACAATAGTTTGTTCCTGTTGAACATAATTACAAGCTAGAATATTTTTCTTTTCATTTAAATGATTACACATATGTAAACCTAATCACCAAATGTAATTTATATCTTTATGTAAACATACTTTTTTAACCAATAAGAACTTATTCTATAGATATAGTAACCAATCAACTTCTATTTCTAGTGTTAACTACAGTTACGTTGGGTA